TTTAGTTGTAAAAGACCTCCAACAGCATCTAGATGTCCATTAAAACCACATAACAACGTCCGGGCCCCCCTAGAAATCATTTAAATCAGAATCTTTGAAGGTGAGAGCCCAGGACTGTTCAGTTATAAAAGCTGTCTTGGCGATTTTAATTTGCAGCCAGGGCTGAGAACTACCAATCTAGAACAGTTTTTGCTGAACATCATCATCCCCTGGAGGGCTTGTTCAAACACAGATTGCTGGACCCCACCCCGAGTGTATTTTAGTGTTTCTGGGTGGTGCCCCAAAATTCGCATCTCTAACAAGTTCCCAGGTGAAGCTGATGCCACTGGTCCTGGGACCACATTGATGAGAACCAATAATGCAGACCGACACTGTCATTTCACACAAGAAGAAACATCAGGCTGGGCATGTGAAGTAATTTGCTGGAGTTGTAGAGCCAGTTAGGGACAAAGCTATAATCAGAATGGAGCCTCACAGTCACTTTTCCTCTCATCTGATAGCGGTATAATTGGGTATCTCTGAATGTCACATCATCTGAAGTTACGTGAAAAGACAGGCTACTTCCCTCCCACAGAAAACAAAACAAGATGTTTAAGGGGTGGGTGAGAGTAACTCTTTCCCACAAACCTATTTGCAAGAACTTAGGCATTCCGAGGAAGTGAGCAGATCACATATTACAGAACCAGGACTTGAGAAGCCAGCAGGGACGGGAAACAGAGTCAGCTTGAACTCTGACCTCTGCTCGGGAAACAATGCATTTGTCCTCTCACTCCTCCCCTCCTTCAACCGCCCTCTAAAGGCTGAGCTGCTTCAACCCAGATGGGCCATATGGTCACAAGTCACCTGGTCAGGAGTCAGGAGACCTCTTGGCCAGTAGTTTGTCTCTCCAACACCTCTCTCAGAGCACAAGATTAATCCGTCTCGCTGTGTTTCCCTATGGCTCCTAAATCTCACCCATATTTGCCCCTTACTAAAGAATGTTTCCAAATATGGCTGGCTCGTCCCTGCCACACCTGAGGTTCAGACAGCTCTGTGCCTAAGGATCTGTAGTACCAGGCTGTCGAGAGGGGTGAGCCCATCCTCCCAGATGTGCTAAACATACTGCAATGACACAGTGCACCCAAAGCTTGGACGTTGGCCTGCTGAGCCATGTTGGGCCACCTTCCTGGCTCCATGAACTATCTCAACATGGCAGGAGAGCTTTGTCTAAGGGGCTAGAAGATCAGTATTTTAAATACACATCACAGGTGATTCTAATGTAACCCAGGTAGTTTCTCAAAAACTAAATATAAATTTATCATATGATCCAGAAAGCTCTTTCCTAGGTATGTGTATACCCAAGAAAAATGAAAACATTTGTTCACGTGAATACACACAAATGTTCACAACACAATTATTCATAATAGCTATAAAGTAGAATTGAATGAGTAAACAAAATTCTTATGTCCATACAATGGGGTGCTATTCAGCAAAAAAAAAGAGAGAGAATGATGAACTCCTAATACATGTTACAACATGGATATATGTCAAAAATGTTATGTTAAATAAAAGAAGCCAGACTTAACGACTACCTATTTTATGATTTCACTTCTGTGGAAGGTTCATAACAGACAACTTTATAGACACAGAAAGGAGATTAGTTGCCTGAGGCTGGGGGCGGGATTGGGGAATGACTAAAACTGGCCATGACAGATCTTTTCGAGGTGATGGCAATGTACTAAAACTGGATTGTGGTGATAATTGCACAATGCTGTAAATTTACCAAATCATAAATCTTACACTTAAAATGGGTGAATTTTATGGTATGTAAATTATACCTCAAAAAAGCATTTAAAAAGTACAGAGACAAAATTATCACTACGTTGTAGAAAAAACTTTCATAGAATTTTACAGAATTTACAGCACAATGAGGCTGATCGTTTTATCAGTGGTTCCCAACCATTCCCAGGCCAAGAATTCCTTTTTAACAGTCAAAAACAGTGGCAGCCTTATATATTCTAATTGAACCTTTGGTATAAACCAAGGAAATACATACTTTGAAGAATACTGTGAATTTGCATTAACTAATCACATTCACTACATATAAAAATAGTAGATAGATATGGAAGACATGTTATTATTCAGTCTACTGACAGTGCTAAGTGTACCTGTGGATTCATGAGCTTCATGCATAATGGTGGGGTCAGCGGCCCCAGAGTTGAAACTCCCTCAAAATCTTTTTGCTACTCAATGCAGCATTGAACAAAAAGAGCAAAAATACTACTTCAAGTTCAATTCCATGGTGTGTGTAGTCCGCTCTGTAGTCGGTTTACAGCTGGAAAGAACACGATGGACTTTCGGACTACAGGCTTGTCCCATGTGTGGGCAAAATGCACATGACAAGTGGCTCACAGGAAAAGAGGAAGGTCGTATGACTGGAAAAATACAGAAAAGTTGACTGGTTGGATGCCTGTCCAAACCAATAAGGGAGCTGTTTTGTGGATTCCTGTTTTGTCTCCAGTCTATCTCCCAGGGGCCATTTCAGTTGTAACCAATGTGTTCCAACAGTTCCACAGCGCAAACCCCTGTATTAAATGATCGTGACCATGCAGAGACAGCACACACACACCACCCCCCGCCCCCCCAAGGAGCTTCTTTCCTCTGGGATTTTCAGTTTCTGTAGGACATCCTCGGAACTTTACCAACAGGGGCAGAGCAGTATTAAGTATTTCTGGAACTGCCGATTGAGGACTTCCCATGTATAAATCAAATCACTTAAGAGGATCTGAAACATACAGTTTTCATTGCCAAGAAATGGGTTCCAGAAGCGTTTCCAAGTTATTTATAAGAAACACTTGTCTCAGTAAGTCGTCTTGTCACCGTCCACCAGCAGTGCACCTGCCTTGTTCAGCTGGCAGCCCCAAGTGTTGCAAAGGCAGAAACATAGGAGAAACTTCTTTTTAAACAGTGTATAACTGTTCAGTTGTGTTTCCAAATAGTATGTTCAGTATGCTTTTGGGTGACGCATAATAAATATACTATTCTTCCTGTGTTACCAGATGTTCTGGACACTCTGTGGTGTGTTAATTATATTTTTTTTTCCAGAATAACAATTGGACCTCTTGCTTTAGAGTGCTTCACTAGAACACAGACGGAGTATACTATGTGAAAGTGTAAACAACATGTGTAAAGGCCAGTTTATCTTGTATTTCCTGACTTTGCGGACATGCTGTAATATCCTCTGCTAAGGGACGTCACTTTCATCCTTTAGGAGACCATCTTTCCTAACCTCACCTGGTCCTGGCATTTCCTCAGGGCCAATTCATTTCCTATATTGGTCATTTAGGTCATTGTTCCCCACGTTACCATGATTTCTCAAGGAAAAAACTCTTTGACAGATTAAAGAAAATATGTTCCACAAATAAATTTGTGACTAGATTAAAATAAAAATAAAAAGTGGAATAAATAAGGTCATAGTCAATTACACAAAAACTTGTATTTGTAATGTAAACATGCAAATTTATAATTTAAATAAAAGTTCAGTGTCATGGAATATGCTTTTCTAATTATCTTTCTCTTCTTAATTTGTTATGTAATTTTAAAATAGAAATTTTTTTGATCACTGGATTTATTGAAGTTTCTGAGTTTCTCTGTGTGTGGTATTAATTACAGTTAGCATTGTGCCATTACTCAGTTTTAACAAAGGAATGAAAGGCAGTTTGTAAAGTTGTTATTGTCAGAAATACTGTTTCTAAAGGTTGTTTATTGCACTCACATTTGTCTATGTTGTCACTGAAGGGTCTACCCCTAGCAAGTACTAAAAAGAGCCAATAGCAGTTCTGACATTTCTTGTACAAATGCTTTCGTTGGAGGGGTGTGCTTCTCCTCTTTCAATGTTAATAGAATTCTACATCTATTCTAATAGAATGGAATCTAATAGAATTCTATATTTAATAGAAATCTATATCTATATCTAATAGAATTCCATGTTAATAGAATTTGCTTTTTTTTTCTTTTTCTTAACCCAAGAATTTTCAGTTTACCTACTTCTCACCCCAACAGAGCCTCTTAGGATAATTTGAAAGAAAATCTCAAAACCAAAATTTATAACTTAATATGTATAAACATCATGAATGGAGCACCTACTACAGCCAGGAGCTTCATAGATACTATATTTAATACTTCCAGAAATCTTATACTATAGAAGTCACCATCCTCATTTTACAAATAGGTAAGATACACACAAGGTAACTTCGCAAAAGTAAAGAAACTGGTCCAGGGTCACACAATGAGTAAGAGGCAGGGTTAGGATTTAAATATCCTTTTTGCCTCCAAGTCACTCTACCTCCTATTCTCCTGAAGTAAAGATTTATGTTGCTTTATTTCAAAGCATGGTTTTGACAACAGTATACTGTTAAGTGCTTTTAATTTAGAGTTATAATTATTTTCAAATTCAGGTAACATTTACATACAATAAACTAAGCAAATCCTAAGTATTGAATTTTATATTTCTTTTTTTTTTAAAGATTTTATTTACTCATTTGAGAGAGAGAGAGAGCAGGAGCAGGAGGAGAGGCAGAGGGAGAGGGACAAGCAGGCTCCCCACTGAGCAGGGAGCCTGATGCGGGGCTCTAACCCTGGACCCTGAGATCATGACCTGGGCCAGAGTCAGACACTTAACTGAGCCACCCAGGAGCCCCTGAATTTTATCTCTCTATACCCTAGTGTAACCATCACCTAGATCAAGATCAGGTGACTCCTGCATTCCAGAAGGTTCTCTCATGCCCCTTCCTTGTCAGTATCACACCCCCAAAAGTAACCACTATCCTGATGTCTATCACAATAAATTAGTTTTGACCATTTCTGAACTTAGATATAAACAGAATCATAAAATATGTAACCTCATTGTGTTTACATTCTTTTGCTCATCATATCTGTGAAGTTCATCAATGGACAATGTATACCTTTTAAAATGTTACTTGCAACTTAATGCTAATGTTGAGTTCAAAGACTTTTTTTTTTTAAATATGGAACGCTTCACAAATTTGCGTGTCATCCTTGTGCAGGGGTCATGCTAATCTCTGTATCGCTCCAATTTCTGTATACATGCTGCCAAAGTGAACACGAGTTCAAAGACATTTGATTTGCTTTAAAACAATGAAAAAACTTGGGGTGTCTGGCTGACTTAGTTGGTAGAACATGTGACTCTTGATATCAGGGTTGTAAATTCAAGCCCCACATTGGGTTTAGAGATTACTTAAAACTAAAAAATATATATATATTTTAAAAAAATGAAAAATATAATTTTAAGTAGTATTTAATAATATACATTTAAATATTTAATACAAAATTTAATTTATATACTTCAAATTAATATTTCTAGAGGTTACAGAAAATTCTAAGCCAAATTTTGATAAAATATTGTATCACTTAGTCAACTTCTGAACACTTAGGTACTATTTGTATTTTTATATCCAATATATATTTTAAATCTTCCTTTTTTTTTTAGAGAGAGAGAGTGAGAGCATGCCCACACAAGGTTGGGGGGAGGGGTAGAGGGAGAGGAAGAGAGAGAATCTCAAGCAGGCTCCCTACTGAGCACAGAGCCTAACACAGGGCTCAATGTCACAACCCTGAGATCATGACCTGAGCTAAAAACCAAGAGTCAGACACTTAACCGACTGAGCCACCCAGGTGTCCCTTAAATCTTCCATATTAGTACAAGTACCAACTGTACATTTTATGATAATGCACATTTTTCCTTTGAAAAGAACCATTTTTAAGATTATAAAAATTTTTCATTTTTAAGATTATATAGAAATAAAAGATGCAACTTCATGTGTAATTTTATGTAGTAATATCTCTTGAAAGTCTGGTACTTTAATTCCTTAAAAAGTCTTATGTAAGAGATTTGAGAATGCATAATTATTTCCATCTGTATAATTATTGATGGAATTGTGGGACTCGTTAATATACAGCTGAGTATGTAATCCCAGCGTACTCCCATGACTCCATAAGGGTTGCCAGTAAAAACTGTGGGAAATGGTCTTGCAACATTCAATATTACACACAAATCAAAACATCATGAGTGACAAAATTCTATGCCACAAGTTATATGGAGGATATCTATAAACTTTCTATAATAAAAAAAAATGTAGCTTTAGAACAGGGCAATCATTCAGTACACAACTAACGTTACAAGGGAAGGAAAAGACCCAGAAAGAGGGAGATAGGAAGGGATAGAGGTGCGTTCAAGTTAATGTTGTTACAAACTTCACTTAAGGGGAAAAAAACGTGTAGGAACATGGAATATGGGTAATTTTGCATAAATGTGATTGAAATAATATAGGCTTTGGAGCCATATAGACTTGGTTTGACTCTTAGGTTTATTACCTTTTCTTAAGATTGTTTATTAATTTATTTATTTGACAGAGAGAGAGAGAGAGTGCACAAGCAGGTGGAACAGCAGTGGGAGAGGGAGAAGCAGACTCCCCGCTGAGTAGAGAGCCTGACGTGGGGCTCGATCCCAGGACCCTGGGATCATGACCTGAGCCAAAGGCAGACACTTAACTGACTAAGCCACCCAGGTGCCCCAGGTTTATTACTTATTATCTTTCTGACTGTGGCAAGTTACTTAACCTCTGAGCTTAGTTTAGTCACCTGAAAACTGAACAACAGTTACTCAGAACACTGCTGTTTATCTTACGTGATAAAAGAAAAACATTCGTACCAAGTACATATAAGAACTTTCTTTTTCTTCTCTTAATAACTATTACTGTATTAAAAGATAATCACTGCAACGTACCTTCCCAATACAACCTACTGGATATATTCAGAACTGCTTGCAAACACCTATATTCTTTCCATTATGCAAGTAGGCCTCACAATAAAGCCGCATCAGCTGCTTAGAAAGATTAAAGGTATTATGACTCAAATGTGGAAATCAACAGTCATGGAAGGGAGTATAAAAAAGTGATTTGAATTCAAGGGCATCAGCAATGAGCACTCTCCAATGATGCCTGGGACCCAACGTTCTTCAGAAAAAAGCTCTGAACTGTGTGAAATAACGGAAGATGAAAGCATGACAGAGGACTGTCAGCAGAGTCCTGGTAGGATAATAGTATGGAAAACAGTGGAGTTATCCTGTCAGCAACACACATGCTATTCTCATGCATACTAACCCAAATATGCAGAACGGGTTCTGGGATCAGATGATTGTATAGGTTCAAAACCTAGACCTAATATTTTTCTGTTTACGCCAAATTACTTAGCTTCATTTCTCATCTGTTAACCTGGATAACGATCGTTATCACTACACAGAGTCATGATGAACATTCGATGAGCTTATCATGGAGAGGGCGTAGTTTTGAACAGTATCAGGATACAATCAACACTTAATCCACATGCCCCTTACCTTCCAAGATAACCATTTTTAGTTCTCTTTCTGCTTCTCTGGTCATTCCTTACTCTCCAAAGCCGCACAAGCCCAGGGCACAACTCAAGGAGTCCTAGCAGAGAACAGCTGCTGAGAGGCTTAGAGCCAGCCAGAGATGTCAGAGGTCACGCAGTGCTGGAGTCTGGCCTTACCCATGTTAAGACCCCAGGATTACATGCCCAGGAATAAAGACAATACTGGAGAAGTAAAACACAGGAATAAGGAACTCTAGAAATAAATGTGAAACTGCAACAGACCACCCCAGCAAAGCCTAAACCCAAGTTCTGATAGGATCAAGTTGATCTGCAGTAATTTGTTTTTTAGAGGAACTCTCTATAATGTATCATCCACAATTTCTATCATGTAATAAAAATTATTATGTGCAAAACAGGAGAAAGTGTCCAATAACTAAGATAAAATAATCAATAAAAGCAAACAAAAGTGAAAAAGGACTTCAAAATAACTGTGATGAACATGTCAAAGAAAAAAAGAGAAAAAGATGCACAAGATAGGTAACATGGAATATTTCAACAGTTATAATCAATAAAAAAAGAATCAAATGGACATTTGAGAACTGCAAAATCCAGCATCTGAAATTAGCAATTTATTAGCTGGGTTTAAAAGCACACTCAACACCTTAATCCTATTTATCTAGAAGACATAATTATTGAACACAAAGGCCAACAGAAAACATACAAACTGGGGGCACCTGACTGGCTCAGTCAGTAGAGTATGTGACTCTTGATCTTGGGGTCGTGAATTCAAGCCCCACAGTGGGATAGAGATTATTTTTTAAAAAAGTGAAACAGGGGCGCCTGAGTGGCTCAGTCAGTTAAGCATCCAACTCTTGATTTTGGCTGAGGTCATGATCTCAGGGTTGTGAGATTAAGCCCTACTCCTCTCTGCCTCTAAAAAAACTAAAATAAAATTTAAAATTTTTTTAAAAATCAAAAACCACACACAAACTGAAGCACATAAAGGAAAAAACAAATGGAAAAAAAGAAAGCAGAGCATGAGAAAGACAAGGGACATAGTCAAAAAAATCTAAAGGTATGTGTGAAGCACTAGAAGGAGAGGAGAAAAGAGAGAAAAACAGCTGTTGAAGAAACAACGGCCAGCAACTCTCCAAGTCTTGTTTAAGGACAGTGACCAACAGATCGGAAACATTCAGAAAACCTTAAGTCACAAACAAGAATATCACAGTCAAATGGCTGAAAACCAAAGATAAAGAAGAAACCTCTTAAAAGCAGGTTTCATGGGGCGCCTGGGTGGCTCAGTTGGTTAAGCGACTGCCTTCGGCTCAGGTCATGATCC